TTTCCCCCACGAAGGAGTGCAGAAATGACTGAGCACGTCTTTATGCAATGCCCGACAACACAATTTGGAGATGGTGGGACAGAATTTGGAGAAAGATAGTCCCTGACACTCCAAGGCCGTGGACCTGAAGGGCGGTACTGCTAGGATATTGGCCCCAGCCAGGCCCAAGGGGCGTCCACATTGACAGAAAACATGTTCAATCTGGTCCACAGAGCGGTGCTCTGGGGGGTTTGGTGGCAACGTTGCCTTCTGGCCAGGGAGAATGTGCAGGTAGAGGGCCCTGAGGTAACAGAGCAGATCCAACAACAATTCCAGTTGGAACTAATGAGAAAGTGGGAAACCCTGAAGCGCCAGCTGGACCTTTTTCGGACTAAACAGGATATTAGAAAGGCAATGTCCTCCTTCGGGGGGGACTGGCTAGGGGGGAGACGGAGGCGGATGGGTGGCGAAAGTTGAGCGGCGTGGTAATAGGGAGCACCAGTGGCGGCAGGAGTTGGTAGAATGTATAGGGACTACCGCCTGATTTTCAAATACTGGACGACCATCCAACCTTCCTTTCCGCTCTGGCCCCCATCAGACTTCCCTGATCCTTTTTCCCGCCACACCCGCTTTCTCTTATTGAGGCGACAGGCTGAAGGGTGGATAGACAGGCTGCATGTGTATGCATAGGTGTACCTGGATCGCTTGTGCGTTGGTACATTCGCCCCCGGAGGGCAGTGCCCTTTCTCAACCCTGCCCTGCTTTGCTTTCCAACAGCTTGATGCCCTCCGAGGAAGTATACCCCTTATCCTCTCACAATAACAGATGGCGAAGCACCCCAGGCGGGGGTCCCCAGGCCTTCGGTGCCCCTCCAGGGGCCGGGGTGACTCTGTTGCAATCTTCACGCCACAAATAGTGGCCCTTTGCTTAGGAAGCAGTCCGCTCATATACACTTGCAACCCCCATTACTCTGAATAACTTCTTTTCATCCTCCTCTTCTAAATGCTCTCTCTATTTGTGTTGCCCACTTGTGTGCACCATGGCTTCTTCATGTGCTCCTCAGAGTCTAAGTGCAGCACCTTCAAGAAGTGCCAAACAGTCGGTGCCTGTTTGTTAGAAGTGCCTGCAACGGAATCAAGGGGGTTGCTGTGTTCGAAGTGCACCGTGCATGCTTGTCTCCTGTTCCCTTGTGATGACAGACTCCCATCAAAACAACTCCCTGACTCTTGACGGAGGCCTCTGCTCCCCCGCAGCCCATCTGCCTGCTTGCCCTCTGGATGCTTTCTTAGTTGCTTTGCCATCCACCTGGCTGTTTTATTTTTCATCTTTGTTCTCTTAACAAAACAAGACCCCTAGGCATCTGGCTAAACCTGGCTACTATGCGGCTTGTTGCTTTGTCGGTTCCTCGCGTATCCACCTGCTGCCCCTTTCTCCTCCCCCGCCCCCTTTTGCTTTACTGCTTCCTGCTTTGGCTTGCTGCTCATATTGTGCCCTGACTGCCTCTCCGCTTGCAGCAGGGGTCGATGTAGACTACTACTACTACTACTACGAGAGAGAGGTCACGTAACTTTATTTTTCATTCATTTTTTATATACTCCTCTGCTGTGTGTGTGTGTGTGTGTGTGTGTGTGTGTGTGTGTGTGTGTGTGTG